ACCTTTCGCAATCGGGGCGACTGCTCTAACCACTGAGCTGCCCAGGATCTAACAGGATTGACGAATTTTTCAAGCACTTTTCGTTTTTCGCTACTATAGAGAGTATTTTCAACAATGTTCTTTTAATCTCAGTGTGCCAGGGACAAAGTTAGTTAAGAATAAATGTTGTTTTTCAAAGTTTGGTTGTAATGTAAATATCTAATGCAAAAGTAAACCATAAAGTGATTGCATAGGGTAGGTAGAATATGCGTATAGTAGCATTGTAAATGCAAATTTGATCAAATATAATCAAATAACATTTATCCAAGGAGAGTAGGATTGTACGTTGCCTATTACTTTCATATAGTGACCTCAAGTTTTAATCATTTATGTTTATTTTTTACAGCAATCTTTACAAATGATTAAACTTGCGATTACAATATGCAAACATCAATACAATATAAACTTTACTAAATGTAGGATTCATTCACCAGGATTACATTTTACCAAGTATAATGTAAACGGAAACTAATCCATTTGTAGGTTCTTAAATGTAATTTTGTCTGTTTGCCTGTTTCACGCCTAAACCTCTAAACTGATTTTAATACAATTTACTTCAGTGATAGATAAGACCTTGGAAAAGGATATTAGTTAACTTTTACCGCGAAAAACGTGATTAGAGGGATTGAAATATAAAAAATTGTATGGAAGTTCGATGACGAAAGTAACTATACCACGCGAACAACGTTTCGGGCAACAGCAAGTTTTCAATAAAGGCTTATCCCTTTTCAAATTGTTAAGTAATTTTATCAAATTAATTACTTATTATGGTAAAGACCTGTCTATGGTAGGGGCACCTACGTAGTTGTAGGCGCACTCTCATGAGTCACCGTTTGCATAACACCGACGTTCATCTCGATGAGCGCCCACGCCACGTACCACTCAACAGATGGTGCCTTATCTTATCTAACGACACAGGTCTAACAATAGAGAAATAAGTTTTCGCTTTCACAGGGCGCCTAAACCAAAATCACTAATTTTAAATTGATTTTGAACAAAGAAATAAATGTAAATACTTACTGATAAAGGTAAATAATCATTTCAACTTGAGAATTGCGCTATATAAAATGTGCTTTATTGAAATCCATTGTTACAATAGAGAGTTACTTCTGGGTTATGTAGAAACATAAATAATGATAAAATTATGTGGGTATTATAGAAAATCTGTATATTTTACCGGTATTTTTATTCGTAAAAAGTAAGAAATAATACTTATCTTACAGGCGACTTATTTAGGAAACCGCTATTGGACGAGGTTTTTTGTACTAAGGTAATAAATTAAATGATAGCCGCCCGACTTCAATAGCAGTTTCTTGAAAGACTCGCTTTTAAGATAAGTATTATTTCTCACAATTAAAAGTTTAAAATCTGTTCTATATTTTGCAAAAAAAAAAACAGAATGTTTATTTATATTTTTTATTTAAAACCTATATATAAAAATTCTGATTTGTTTTTTGTTGAATATAGAAATTCCTTCATATGGATTTTGAATGAATGCAAAATATCTTTTGTTTTGTTCGAAACTTCATAAAAAATATTTGCGAGATGGTAAAGCTGAGTTACTGTCACAGGTAATCAAGATGAATTGACGGTCGGGACTCAGGACGATATTTTAGAAATTGGGACTGTCTCTCAAAAAGGCGGCCACCATTTTTACCAGTAAACAGAAATTGCGAGCGACATGTTGATTTTTAGGGTTACGTAGGAAACTAGGAATCCTTAAAATCAACCTACAGTTGCGCTGTCCTTCCGCGGTTTAGCTCAAAAACTATTGGTACTAGAAAGGTGATAACGACACAGTGGAATTTTGTTTCATGATATGCAATTCCTACATACATATATCAATATATATTACACGTCTTCACGACACAAACCCGAAGGTACCACAGCACACTGATCCAAGACAATATTTAAAAAGTTTTTGTTCTACATTGACTCGCCTGTGAATTAACTCCGGAATCAGAAATGAAGACACTTGAATCAGACGTGCGCGCCACAAGGTCGCTAGGTCATAGTCAAGCATATTAAAACAAAAATATTTTTTTTCACGAATCATCTTAAATGCACAACAAAAAGATACCATACAGTCAGTGCCATTTCTCTAAATAAAAAGTTAGTAGGTATTTTCGAGATATCCCTTGCGTATCGAAGATATTATATTATATTTAGAAGTACTATCTTTCTATTAAATAATAAAAATCATTATGTTCGTCTGTAAAGCTTGAAAACATTCAACAACAGGCGGGAAACTGTTATGAAATTTTCTTTAAATAGATTTTGACTTGTGATAGGGGTTAAGATCAAATGGAAAAATTTGACTCTTATATTTCGTTTGACAACTTCTAAATACATACAGATTAATTCTCATGATATTTGTTCGATTCAAATTTTTTTAATCTGGGAACCCGGAATGGACGATGGTTTAATCCGTTTTAGGTTAAAGTATTGGCTAAGCTCAGTAGCCTGATAGTAATTATTAATATTTACTTTTTTATAGTAAGTTGGCACCTATTCTCACACTTGTTAAACAGAAGAAGCTATACTTCGATTTTTTCAAATCGACAGTTAAATCATTTATGAGAATTTGTATTCATAACACATACATCCCCTCCTACAAAACAATGGGTAGCGCTCTTTTCGTCGCAGGAAACGTCGTACGCGCATGCATTACAAAATGGCTGTCGCCGCCATTTTGAAACTACGAATGGAGTTAAATGACGGTCTGGATGCTATGGAGACAGCTACCCATAAAGAGAGAGGATATCCTGGTGAGTTTCCGTTCAGTTGACTTTCGTATGGCATACGAGGTTAGTTGATTTACAGATTGTTAATTGCTTCCGCATCAAATACGCTATTTTTTATGTCCATTGGGATTTTTTGTTGGTACTTCCATTGAAATGTAGATCCCATCTACTTGTAAGAAAGATAATATCTAATAGGTTAATACATTCTTTAAAATCAAGACTCTTTTTATTAAGTTACTGATTTGGAGTAAGAACATATTGCACCAACTTAAAAATTGCTGATAGTTTCAACACAAATGTTTGTATTACTTATTATTGTTAAATTTAAGTCTTAATGGAACCTAAGGTAGTTTAGATTTCTTGGGTCAATAGTTTGGTTCACAAATTATAAGTAAAAAAAGCATAGAATTTCTCTATACACTTATTTATTTAAGGTTAAGTATATAAAACAATAGTGGACAAAAAACAAAATAGTTAAATCATTATAGTCGGTTCTTACTCAAATGGTATGAATACAATTTGTTTTAAATTGGTAATATATAATAAAGGTTTAGGCACGTTAAGCCGTTGGTCCCGGCTGCATTTGCAGTCGTTAATACCCTCCAATCCGCATTGGGCTAGCGTGGAGGGTCATGCATGGCCCATCCTTATTAACCATCCATAAGGAAGGCCTGAGCCCCTGCAGTGGAGACGTAAAAGGGCTGATGATGAATAAAGGTTTATTGACTACTTTATCCACTAAAGAAAGAAGCTCTTAAATTATAAAATCTATTCAGTGAACCTATTTTTTATAAATTTTACTTATCAACTAGGAAGAAAGTAAAAACCTTACGTTTAATTTGTGTTAGGTGAAGACATTATCTTGACTGTATTAACACTATGAACAGCTGCGTGTAGTCCCACGATTCACCAGATTGAATGCGATAACAGTCTCAGGTCAATGTAAACACAACCTATCTTTGAGCTTATACTTAGGCAGGGTTGAAGCGGTTAAAATTTTAGTTGTTTTCAACAAGTAAGCTGTAACAATTTGTCTTTTAATGCATTCATCATTAGTGTGTAAGTAATAATGTACTAATATCGTTGCAATTATTTTTACTTCTAAAAAATCTTCTTTTGTGCAAAGGTAAGATGTAGATTGCCATTTGCTTTTTTGCTATCATTTTACCGTAGAGCTTACATGTTAAAAATGGTTTCCTTCTTTTAGCTTTTCTAAGTTCATATAGTAAAATCTAATATTACCGACTAAGTGGGTATTATTTGGTTTAAAAACTATTTACTTGTATTTACAATGCATTTTACTTTTCATGTTATCAAGGAAAGGTTAAACAGTGTAAAAATGTAATAAACTTTTATGTATGGACATACATATTTCTTGTCAGCCGATATTGGTAATATGATTAAATATGTTTAATATGTACAAATAATACGTTATTTCAATTATACTACATATTTTAATTCTATAACATCAGCCCAGCATGGTTCATTTATTGGTTTACCTACCTAGTTTGATAACTGACGTTGATGGTAAATTTGTTATCGGTAAAACATTAATTTATAAAGTCATTAACAGAAGCGGGTGTGTTGTTTGGTGTAGGTACTTAAAGCTACTTGTTAATCAGCATGTCATCGTCATAAAGAATAATAGCCATTTATCTACAAACTTTTTAATTCAATTATAAAATCATGTAAGACTCTCTGTCCTCTGTCCGTGTTTGAAGAAGTTTGGGAGTGGTGCTCAATGACAGTATTGTACCTAGGTACGAAGAAGTAGCTAATTAGTATTCATCTAAGCGCGTGTAGTCCTCTTCGCGGTGGGGACGGGTTAATAGCCGGCGCCGCCTCCGCGCCCAGCCATATTGTACCGAGTTCTCTGTCCAACGAGTGCCGTACGCTCGTCTGATATACGTTAATTCCCTCTGTCAACATTTGAACTGCAGCCAGTCGACAATTGCACCATATCGAGCTGAACCGGTGGCTGGGAAGGCAAGAAGTCGGCATAGCTGTTTAACGATTATATACGGCTGTGTCACTTCGAGCCAGCTCAATCCATTGGCTTTCTACTAAGAAAAAATTGCCGAATGCAGACGCTCCTGTAATATTGAAGAAAGTCGGATCGCTCCCGTAACGTTTCCGCCGGGAGGGGGCGCATCTGACAGCTGTCAATTGCGCGCATTTCTAGCGAATGGACGTGGGAAGGAGATTTTTATTTTTATCACACACGACGATGTTCCCGTAGAGTGCAAGCGGCGTGTACTTACGTGCGTGACGAACCGATACGAAAACACGACGACAGAATGGCGAACGAGGAGGTGTTAGGTCCTCGGAAGACGATGTTTGTATTAGTGATTGTTGTGGGGTGTTTTGCGGTGTTGTGGCCCAGGATCCTGTCCCCGCTGATCTTGGGTCACACGCGGGAGCAGCTGAAGCCCAACCAGTTCGACCGGGAGGCAGGTAAAGTCGGTATTTTTAACTCAAGCTCAATGTCAATATCGCTGGACGACACTGGGCGACAGGCGTCGTAGCTCTTTTTTATTTTAATCTAATTATAACTATGCACTTTAGGACAAAATATTATTAGTGATGTTAAAACTGCGAGACGCTTCCTTGAGAATCAGATCTTGGTATAAAATACTAAATTTACTAGAACAAGATATTGCAGAGTAAATACATCATAGTCCAGTTGTTGACTTTGAGTCATGTGTTTACAAGAGGTCTTATTGGAATGTGATGCTTATATAAGCTAACATAATATTTTATTCACTTATTAAATAACCTATGCCATGAAAGAAACTACATAGTTTTCAATCTCAAAACTTTTAATCAATAGATAAATATAGTTACTGATTACCTGTGTAGTGTGTAGTCTTTATAAACCATGTTATTATGATACTTAAACCATATTATTCTTGAAAGATTTATCACCAAATTGATGATATAAATACTGTTATTGATATTTCCTAAAATTGACTTATTTTATTTTAAGGATTTCAATATTCGTAATATTCGTAATCTTGAGTAAAAATGATGTTTTATTTCCAAGAGATGGTTATAAATCTAACTATCTATAACATAAAAGATAATATTATGTAAAAAAGAAACTAAGAAATTATATTATTCTTGTCTTAAAAACTTTAGTGTACGGTGTTTGATTTATGAGATATATTGATATATTGTAGTCTGTGTCCATCCAGAATAAAGAAACATTTGTATAGTAAATATTTTTTTCTAGATTGGTAGGTGCCATGATCCTAAAGATTTCCATCCACATATGACAACATACAAATTACACATGTTCTTTTTATAATTCAAATTATTATTGTTCAGACTAAAATCTGGACCTAAACCTTTGGACAGGTTTTAGTTGATGTTTATAGTCTGAGTGATTTTTATACCAGGATTTTGTTGTGAAAGTAATTTAAATTATTACAGAAACAATATTTTCTTTTTATTTGTATATTGCTGTGCCTTACTAGGCTTTATATTTTATGGACTGAGCACATATTTTAAAATTTAACATCACTTACCTAGTTGCATAAGCATCTATTGAAATAATCATTAGGTACATACATAGTCGAAAGTAACATTACCCTTAAAAATCAAATTTAGAACATTCATTAAAGCTTATATCTTAGTAAATGCTTGTGCAACTGGGTGATTAATAATTATTTGAGAGCAACCAAATTGAATATGAAATAAGTATTTGACTGTTAACAAAAATAGGTGAGAGTCAGGAAGCAATTCTGTATGTTGGATTGGAATTCTGCAATAGGCAATCTTGTACTGAGAAGAATCAGTAAGGTAAATCCTTAAACTCCAACAAAAGGTTGTTTTTATAAACAGGGAATATAAATCAAATAAAAATCATTTATTCAGTCTAGGCTGTAACAAAGCACTTGTAAAAGTTGAAATACATCATTGAGCTGTCATTAACTTGGAATTTAATGAACCCATTGTCTGAGATTATGTGCCTTATATTGATACTATTTGATGGATGAACATTGTATAGTAATTTAAGAAAAAATATTACACATAGTTTAATATATCACACTTTCAACGTAAAAATTTAGTCTGAAACTCACATCAATGAAGTTAATCAGCAGTCCTCTGGTAATATCAATGTTTGTGATATTATACATACAAAACATCTGTACAGTGTTTCAATTATGGCATATGTTGAACTCAAACTTAAACATTTCACATATGTGCTCACATGTGTGTAACCTATTGTTACTTAAAAATCACTGGAACTCATACAGTTTCATGGTTTTCAATTTATTAATATAAATGTATTAACAGTAAATACATAATTAAAATAAGGAACTAGGTAAATATTATTTCCTATTTTTGGAATAGGAAAGTTCCATTTAATAAGGCCTATTGTTTTTGACGGGCTCAGGTATGGTCCAAGTTGCAAAAGCCAATTGTTTGTGTTATAGTCATAGGCCAGTTGGCTGAAGATCTGCAACTAAAAACTATTTTATTTGCTTTTCTGGAACTTCACTTACAATAAATGAAAATAGGAAAGTTCTTATTAATTTAATATTGCCCAATAATAATTTTGTTGATAAATTTAACATACATAAAAGAGTAGGTAGTAGCAATAGAATTGACAAAACATAATTTTGAAATGTTCAACTACGAATCATTCAAAAGCTGATTCTAACCATAAAAGTAACAACATTTCCTTACTTTTTTAGGATTGTTTCAACTGACTTAAAAAAAGAGGTTTTTATTTCTACTGTATATTTTATGTGTATTATCTAATAACTTTTCAGTTTGTGATGATTCTTCTTCTCTTTTTTTGATATAGCATATATGGTCTCATAGAAGTTTTATCAAAATTGGTGCAGCATTTTTTATTTGATAACCAATGATATATTCTTAATCCTACAGTCTTATTATAAATTATCCTCAATACAATATTACAAGACTCAGAAAATGTGATTACTTGTAATATATTCCATGTACCATGGTTCAAGTCTATTAAGTGGCTTAACAGGTTGTTGCGAGGTGATGTTCGAGACTGAAGTAGCATTACTGGAGCTGTTGAATGAAGTCTGCAGCTCAGTTGTTCATACAGACGGGAAACTATCTCCTTACGCTGCAGCAGAATGTAGGAAAACTGTAAACGAGACTTGTGGGGTGGACATTGCCGCCTTCATCAAACGAGATGAAAACGTCGGCAAGACGACGAAGAAACTTCTAGAAATGATGAAGACAAGCAATAGTTCCTGTCTTAAAGAACACTTTGGAGTGCCCCAATGGACGATCAGCAATCACGTCGCGTTGAACTCCTGGACTCTACAAGACAGTTAGTCAATATGTGCTATAACACTAACAAGTGTGATTTGATCGGGCGATATGACTAGAAGTAACCCATAGTGCTATTAACAATGTTACTGTTTAATAGTTGAAACGGCGTGCTAACGAATAGCTTTTTTTTTAGAAAATAGTTCACTAATCTCTTGTGCTTCTTCTGGATTGTGCAAAATGTTTTCGCATGTGGACGTAATTCACATTCGATAAGGATTTATCATTTTTGGGTTATGCTAAAACTCCATTTTTGGATCTTAATTTCCTAATTAATTATCGTAATTGTTTGCATTATTAACTTTGTGTATTACCGCACCTAGTCAATTTGCGTATTGACATAAGTAAAACTTCACTTTCTATTCCGATCGCGCCCTGAAACGGTTACAACATCTTTGGATGACCACATGTCGATGATTTCTAAACGTTGTCATTTGATATTCTATGTTTTGACCACGTCATTACTTTTCTACGAGCCATTACTGGAGATAATTCGAAATTGTTTGAGGAAAACGCATCTCTAATTGTAGTATTATTACGTAGGATGCCAGAATTAGATGTACCACATTACACTGTCCGAATATCTAATTCATGACCTGTTATGTTGGTGTGTTTGCATAAATCTGTGGAGTGATACATCAGCGTCGTGTACTCATGTAAATTGATATGGACGTTTGCATAAGGACGAAAGTCAATAACTCATTATAGAGGTCTGGCTAAGAATTTATTTGAATAATAAGAATATCTCACATCTATAATACTATCTGACTAATTACTTAATTGAATTAGGCACTTTAAAAGTTTGTAGTCGTTTCCTTTCAGTTATCTGTCTGCTTAATTTAAAAGTAATAAAAAAATATATTTGGTATTAATCCAGCAGTAAAATTCGGTATTTATATGGAAGTTTTAATAACGTTTTAACGCATGCTCAGTTCAGATCAGTTTTATTATTATATTGTAAACCCCAAATAGGCCCTAGGTTTATCACAGATTTATTCTAAACATGTCAAAAATGCTCTTTGATTTTATAGAATTAAATTGCTTCATTGAAAATTCTTAAACCAGTCACAATCGTTACTATTATAGATCTTTTTTATCAGCGTGTGGTAACTAAAGGCCTTAAACATAGAAAAAGAAGTTACTTGGGAAGTTATTCCAAATTATTGCCAGATGATTAATTAACTTCTTTATTTTAAGTACTTATTACAAATGAATAAGTCCTTTTTGTACAACCTAAGGCTGGTTTAAAATTCTAAGAGTTTTTCATGTATGCAGTAGAAGCTATAATGATGAACCTGACACAAGATTGCGTGCCTTTGTACGGGCGTGAATACAAATAGGCGAACGTTAGCTTTCACAATGTGGTGTGGAAGGCGTTACAAGTAAGACTCGTTTTAAGTGGCCTTTGAGGCAAGAACAAAAGTTTTGACGCCACATTGTCACATGCTAAGGCCACAAGAGGTAACGGTTCGAATCGACACACGGAGGCGATGTTACAAAACGATTCATTTGTCACTTTAAGTATATCTATGTTATCTTCTGTACATTTGTCATTGAACTCTGTCTAAACGGGTTGACTGGCTGATAATTTCTCTGTTGTAATTTTGTTCTTTAAAAACTCCAGAACCCTAGGCAGTTTAGACTCACAGTTTTATCTGGCATATGGCGCTCTTCAGAACAGAATGACGTCTGCAAGATCCATTAGTAAATAATATTATGAAGTGTTTTTAACTGGTATTTATGAATTATATCTGACGGTCGTTTAATTCTAATAATCATGATGATTTTTCGATCATATTCTTAATATCGAATGAAAAATTAAATCTTATGTTAATATTTTTATACTACTGTTCTAGGAATCGAGTCAAACCGATCATCGCTGGTTCTTTTCATAGGTTGTATTACAAAATCTTATCCTAAAATTTGTATAAAGCATTGTATAACCTCTATTGGAAAATGTATAACCTATATAATCAAATTATGTATATCATTAATGGAAAAAATACACATAGCTGTAAATCATGTTACGAAATAATTTTCAAATTTCAGTTATAATGTGTCACTATTTAGTTGATTCAGGTATATAAAAAAATTAAGAGTTTTGTTATATTCAGACGTCAAATAAATTGAGTTTACATTGAAATAAAAAACACAATTCGACATTTGGTCTAAAGTAAAAAATAAACTTAAAATCATGCCAAGACATTTCTCTTCCGATGTTGATGTAGTCAGTATATCCACTTACATTAGGAATCGAGTGCTGTGCAAATCCAGTGTTCAGCACAGTTGCTCGGTTCTGGCATGCAAGTTGAAGTGTAAACATCAGTATAGGGTCAATACGAGTCTGGCAGAAGCTCCAGCTAGCGTATCAACTTAAGTACAATTTAGGTAGGCTTGAGGGATTAACAGATCTGACATGCTACTACGGATGATACGCGCTGGATCTTCCATCATCATATAGGTATATGCACCGATATTAGTTCTATCTTCTATAATTGCTAACAATAATTTTGATATATTTTTGAAATAGCGAATTAATATATTGTAAAATAACTCTTGTAAAAAACTGTCAAATATAAAAAGGATTACATATTTTTTATATTCCCCTCAATAAGGACGTTCCTCAGAAATAAACATCGTATATAAAAATCATATTTCTGTAGGGCGTCCCATAAACGGCTTTGACGCACATTATAAAATAATGTAAAATTCAATTCGAAATAAAATGACGTATCACATAGTTTAGTATAGATAGAAGACTCATTAAGTATTATGTTAAAACATACTCTTATTTCTCATTCTTATTATTATTTGCTTGCCCTTATGCTAATTCTTTTATTCGGGGGCGGTGTAATATATATTCTTCTTCCACACTTCTCTATCAACTGTTACCTCTGTATTCCTTTCTTCTCTATGTCATCTCTCGCACAGTTTATCTTCGATCTTCTTCGGCCCTCACATTCCGTCTTCTTTTGTTATTTTGTTTAGTAATTATTTTTATTGTCAGTAACAATATTTAAATACTTACGTTATCCCGTTTAATGAGTACCTATTTACGTTAAATATTTTGAAAGCCATCAACAACATGTATTACAACAGTTTTATTAACACAATACATCGACTTTATTCTGAGTATGAAGCGGTAGTCAGACCTTGTCCCCATATGGTTTTTTTTAAACAAATTAGGTAATGTGCCAATTGACGATGTGGCTTGAATTGGGGCTAACACGCCTGTTTAGGTTGCGGCCGGTAGCGCCAATTACGTTTATCTGTAATTGTCATACATTTTTGTATGATTAGTGGTATACGACGGCTTTCAGATATAAAGTCACCAGATCCTGTATTTTTTTTCCCCTGTTGCTATATAATTTTTTTTTTGTAATATTTATCCTACCAAATGTAGCCTATGTGCATAAACTATTTTAATCGTGTCTACTCTACACGGAAGAATGTGTGTATGCTTTAAATTCTTATGTTGCACATTGATGCTGTTTGATATAAACCGGTGGCGAGTGATGGAATTATGAAAAGTTTAAACAATTCCAATAGAAATTTTACTGAACATGGGACACAAAGGTCAATCCCCCCCCCCCCCCCTCCTCTTTTAAGGATTTCTAAAAGGCAGCTTATGTTTCAATAGTTACTGATCAATCGGTTTTGAAATTCAATACTTGACGATGGATTAGTTTGTAGTAATATTGTTTAGGTCTGGGAATGACCTATTTTAGTTTTGTTTATCAATGTTTTAAAGTGTAAATTGTTTAGTCTCGTAAATTTTTATTGTACTTTGGTATTTGAATATGATGCGTAGAGCAACTTCTGTAAAATAATTCTAATTTTGTCAGCTTTATAAAACGTATGTTTCATCAATTATTTGTCTAACGTATTTACGTATATTTATCCTATATATACTGCTGTTTTATATATTTACTTAGATTTGTATATATAATATTTGGTCCTTAAAAGTTATCAGTACGGATTGGTGGGTGACGATTGCATAAGCAGTCGGGACAGAGGAGCTAGAGATAAAAAATTTTTGGTCACCCATCCTATGACCGGACATGGCGAAAGTAGCTTAACTTCTGTATCGCTGACCGAACGCTCTAACTACTGCTCGAGAATAATTCAGCATGCGTTAATTTATTACCGAGTTTGTATTTTTTAAACTCGACAGACGGCGTTATCGAGTCGTTTTATGATATATTTTAAGCTCGTGTGTGTGTATGTGTGTTAATTTTTTTAAACCTTGACACTAATTACGTCACTCATGCCCGTTTAGGTTGTATGTTTAGGAGCTGTCTCACGCAGATGGACTATGATGGGCGCCAGAATTTGTGTTACGTCATTATGTGATAAACGAATACCTTGTCATGTCCGAAAAGGTTGGAAATTTGATGCTATCAACTAAGAGTGTGTTAATATGTTATAGAAAAATATTTGAATTTGATCGTCTCAGAATTAGAATCCTTAGATAATCCGGCGACTGTTGTTACGACTACTCGGAGTATTTGTCAGTCACAGCTCTGTCGTAGTTTAAAGAGTTCTCGGTTCAATAAAACTTAGTGAAAAAAAATCGAACTTGTACGACTTTGAATTTTATTATTTTTGCTGCTTCGCCATCGTCTTCTTTTTCTACGGGCGTCTCCGCAATTCGACGTCAAAATTGAGCAAGTTTTACATGTCTGATGTACCTAATGTAGATATAATTTTCCTAAATTCCTTACCCGGTAGTTGATCACTCCGTTGCAATCCAGCAGGTCGTTCACCCTATCTCATTTTCTCTATCCTTTGTCTTTATGCACTCTTTTAAAAGAGCTTTTCTATAATAATTATTTATATTGCGTTGGTAAATGTGTTCTCTGACATAGAGATATGAAGTGTCCGGTAGCCAAGTTTCCAAATACACTAAACTGCACATCGGGTTCAACAAAATTGTCAAACTGTTTACAAAACTTTAGTTTGTTACTGGTTTCTACCATGTGGCTGCTTAATAAAAACAGCTAAATAATATATGAATAAATCTTCATTAATTTTATATATTTATTGCTTACTGTTATATTTAAAGAATATTTGATTAAGTTGGAATAGAAATATTTAAAAAGTCACATCATTTCTCAAATCCCAAGTTAAATAAGTAATACTTGTTTTGTCGAAATTTGAAGCAACACTGATATCATATTGTTTACAGAGACTCCTCTCTCTCTCTCTAAATGACAGTATAAGCACGTAAGCACGAAACCGGGGTCGCAATTATCACATGGAGCGAAGTCATGAAAACTGGTGTGCAAGCTGTGCAAGCCATTCGACGTACAGTTCATCAAAAGCAGCTTAACTGCAAATTGAATATGAAAAAAATAGTGTATTTATAATAGAAGCTACCTTAAACGTTAAATAAAATAGTATAACAAGTTTCTGTATAAAGTGCATGATTTTTGTGCAATTGCAAAATTCGAAGGCTTGTTTATCTTTCAACTATTTTTGATTGCTATGAAATGTAATCTTATATGGTTAATATCCACAGCCGTAAAGCAGGAGCGACCGCCAATGCGTGCCGGGCCACATCCAGCATTACGTGAGAGAGGTCGAGCCATACCACCTGGGGTGCCCCCATCAACAAGAAGCTCGGTCACCATGCCGCCTCACGTGAGGGTACGCTCGTCCCCCTTAGACGTGTACTTTGAGATCGACATCAAGGTCAGTTACAGTCTGTTCAGAGTGGGAGCATGCGGCTTGCGCAGGTAGGTTGGGGAGTTTGCAATGTATTTTATATACTCTTACGATTCTGATGGTGTATTTCATTTGTTTATAGAGCCCGTATTCTGTATCGTTTGCCATAGGCCATTTAATTCATTCCAAGGGTTGTTGATTCAGATACAATGTTAGTTTTATAAAAAACTAGTGGACGCCCGCGACTTCGTCCGCGTGGAAGTCGGTATCCCGTGGGAGTGAGAAGTTTTCCCAGTAAAAAGTACCCTATGTGTTATTCTGATGTATAACCTATATTGCTGTAAAGTTTTATCCAAATCCGTCCAGTAGTTTTTTCGTGAAAGAGTAACAAACATCCATACATCCATACTTACAAACTTTCGCCTTTATAATATTAATAGGATGTATAACCTATATTGCTGTAAAGTTTTATCCAAATCCGTCCAGTAGTTTTTTCGTGAAAGAGTAACAAACATCCATACATCCATACTTACAAACTTTCGCCTTTATAATATTAATAGGATAGCATTAATGATGTCAATACTTGTTAGATATCTCGCCTTCGGGGCATCCCTCTATGCTGTATAATGACCAAAGAAAAGGAGCTTAAAAGCTGGCCAAGTAGCTATTACTTGTCTTGATACAAATGCGCCGTATCTAAATGGATAATAAATATGCCAGGATTCGCAATAATTTTGGTTCGGTGTGCGGTTAAGCCTTTTGGTATGCCGTGGTAGAGTAACGTATACCCGTGTTGAATATTTAAATTTACAATTTAATTTCAATCATTCAGTGAACTAGATTACCATTATTGTTTAAAATTCTGTGGAGTACGCGAAAATTTAGTTTAGGAAATATGTATTCTAAAGTCATGGGTTATCTTATCTCATTAGTTAAATGGTGATTTTTATACAAATATCAAATACATTGCAAACTTTTCGTTTTCTAACATTTAGTTGCTCTGCAGCTTTAAGTCTTCAAGCTGACTTTTAACATCTAATGTAAGTATTGAAGCTATTGTTTTAGTTTATATTAACTCCACTTCTATTAGTATAATTAGATCTCATGAATTTTTTTAAAAGTTAATAGTGTGAAGAGTGGCAAATTCTTTCAAAAATTTGTTGTTCTTAGCATTAATGTACTAGGCCTTTACAATGAATGAAGCTTTGAATAAATAAAAAAAGTTTTTAACATGCGTTTCGTTTTGTCATTCACCAAAAAAAACAGTTGCAAAAGACGTAGGTGTTATGTGCTCTGCGCTTGCGCGTCTTACATGAGCCGGTGGGACGCACTTGATTTGTCGTTTGAGTTTCTTTTCTCTCGTATTGCAGTGTGAGGAGAAAACCTGTTTGAAATTTTGCGTATTTTTAATGCTTTTTGATTTAAGCATCAACTTGTCTTGGTGTTTTGCTGTTCATTGTAGTGCATTAATTTTCTAAAAATTTCTTTGCGATATTGGGTCAACATGGTCAATATTTTGATGTAAACAAATGCATCACAATGCTATACTGAAAAATAGTCTTAATGAAAAATGCTTAAAAATCCACTTTATCTCTGGCACTCTTAGTTTTGATTCGAACCCGTGACCTTTCGCAATTTGGGCGACTGCTGACGTAACAGGAGTGTCGATTTTTTCAAGCAGTTGTTACCTTTTGCTGCCACAGAGCATATTTTCATCAGAGTCCCATCTCACAGTGCCAGGGGAAAAGTGGATTTTTAAGCATTTTTCATTAAGACTATTTTTCAGTATAGCATTGTGATGCATAATATAGTAATGTATAAAAAAATCCATTAAGCTTATAAATTTGGATCATAAGACTACATTATAATAAACTCAAAAATATATTGGAATTTAGTGTCCGACTAGCTCGCGTGGTCCTGTATAGCAACGTTCCTCTTGAATCGCTCTGTTTATTCATGAAAACCGTATCAAAACATGTTGAGTACTTTAAAAGGTCTTAGTGTACAGACGGCGGGAAGCTACTTTGTACTATACCTACTATGTATATTATAGATTAGCATAAAAATATAATAATAATGTTTATCGTTATATTCCTGGGAACGGTATAGGTGATCAGTGATTGGAGTCGTTTTAAACGGAAGGCCCGAAATCATAAAAGCTAGCTTTCTAGAAACTTCCCGATGATTTATGTGGGATAGTGTTACAATAGATAGAACTGATAAACATATTTATTGCAAATTTTGCATGACTTCATAATATTTTTAAAGTACAGTTTGAAATATTGTAAAAGTTGAATTGCTTGTCCCCAATATCGCGACAGCAAGATTCTTACGAAGTCTCACTCGAAATTCGGTCGGCGTGCAGTGAGAACACCAAAACAAACATGGCTAGAGTAAACAAGGATTGCACGTACCGACTATCTATGTATGCGCTAGCGCACGCCTTTGAGGTTCTGGTACCAAACAGAAGCGAAGGGCGACTGAACTTATTGTTGAATGAATTTTCCCGTTGGGTCACTGTGATTCTCAGCGCCTCCAAACCTTTTTACTTATTTAATTGTAACGTAAGACCATTCAGTGAAACAAAATCTGCTAAAAACAAGGAGTGTCTTAAAGTTGGATACACTAAAGTTTATTTATACACCAGAGGTTATAAATATTAGCCTGATACAAATACCAACTTTCGGTATGGAGATCTAACATGAAAACATAAAAGCTGTTTTTTTTATTATGAGGGTATGATATATTTCCTTTTTAATATATGAATTAATCCATCGACATTTTCTTTCGGATTATTGTTAAAAAAATAAAATTCCTTTAATTTCTCAATGGCATGATAAGCAAAATACATATAAAGTGACTTCTACGTATTTTCGCGCTTATACTTATATTACTTCCATGAAATACATAAATTTTCCTAATATTATATTTGAAAACTCATATTTTTATAAAAACATGGACAATAAATATTTAAAAAATATTTGTAAAAAAAATCAATAATATTAACAATGAAATACGACTTCAATCGATATTACAATATTGTGTTAAGTATATTTTGTTTTGAATCCAATGAAAAAATATCAGACGAAACATATGCGGCAGACTTTTGAGTTAAACACATATTCTACTAAATATCATTAAAATCCACTTGGAAATACTTTAAATAAAAGTTTTATCATATTAAATTACTACTACAAAAATAAAGTTTAATTAAAATTATTATTTCCTGTAAATTTTTTAATTGAACTTTAGGAGAACTGGAAAATTTGATTTCAATGAGTTTGAGCTAGTTGAATAGTATTCTAATGATTATAACGCAAATATTTCGTTAGTAAGAATTTATTGTCAGCCTGTTTAAGTCTATGCGATGTTTTGTTCTCACTGTAATTTTCATTTTCGCTATGATAAATAAAACCAAAATTTGTGAAAAAAGTCGTGTTAGTTATTTTGCGTGAAGGAAATTAAGGTTTTTTGACTTGATGTTTTTTTATACCTTCCGTAGCTAAAATTAGATGGATTCTTAAATATAGTCTCTTATAATTGGCTCACAAACTTGATTAAAAATGTTCCAGGCTTATATCGAATTATTTCGGTTTTTCTCGTATTTGTATCAGGCTATATCTTCACTTGCGTTTTGGTCTTATTTAATAATAAATGTTATTATATTGCTATTAGTTTGGTATTTGCTATTACTATTACATGATTTTATTATTGTAATTGAATGTGGCAACATAGTCTATTAGGTCATTCAATTTCGCTGTATGAAATAAAAGGGAAGAAAAATAGCAATTGATAGATTCATGAACCGATCAAGTAGTTCGAGTATCACAAGTGATTTTAGTATTCGAGAATGATCAAATGAGTTTTATAGTAAGTAAAGAACTGGGTACTATAAGGGTTGGCGTATATTTTAAAATGCGGATCTCGGTTGCGGGACGTCAGAATTGATAAATATATAATGATCCTTTACGTACCTATTGAAGCATACTTTCGATTCCGTCTAACAGATTCCCCGTCAGATGTCCGCCGACTCTAAACACTGAAGATAAATGACAATAAAACATGTTTAAAGTAGATACTTAGTCTCTCATATTTCAGACTTAAATATTCTAAAGGTTTTTTATTTTTATTTTGATATGATAAGACAACATATTTCTGTTTTTATAACAGATGATATTCTCCGTTAGTTTCTTTTACCTTGGGTGTAACAAGGCTAGAAAGAATCAACTGTTATGCTGATGATGTCATGCTCATTATTTTGGGGCTGCCAGTGCCTAATTTGTGACTTGTGAGACATACGATACCGCTGTTCACCCAAATTTTATAAAACATGTATATTACTAATGTAAAAGTAGGTGATACAGTGGTTTGAACGTTAGCCGATCGAATTGTTAAAATTATTAACTGAAAGAAACTAAATTCTCCAAACATAGCTTTTATGATGAAGAACTGGAAAATTTGATTTCAATGAGTTTGAGCTAATTGAATAGTATGCTAATGATTATAATGCAAATATTTCGCTAGTAAGAATTTATTGTAAGCCTGTTTTAAGTCTATGCGATGTTTTGTTCTCACTGTTATGCGGTTCTCACAGACGGAATGGATCGCACACTCTTTTGGCTACTGTTCAACATGGTTCAACTTCTGACTAGTTTAAATACCTGAGTTTTCATATTTGAAAATGTACTTAGATATTAATGCTACTTGTTATCTGAAAGAACCAATTTTGTTTCAAAACTATTTTAAACGTATTTTTTTTATCTTTAGAAAAGCAATTAAAATTAAATGCTCTATATTTTTAGTTGTTAATAGATAAATTTACTTGTAAAGACAAAAATAATGTTATGTAAAATGTTACAAAGCCAAAATGGCTTTGGCGTTCGTCAAACGCTCAAATTTACATGACAAACATTATGGATATGTTCATTTCGTTTTTACATCCACTGTGGCGGTAATATGAATGTTAATTTACTTCAATGTTGTTTTACTTTAAATTCTTTATGTGTTAATTTTTGTTACACTTTTGT